CATACTCACAAACTATCGCGATTATAATATTAGTAAGATAGTAAGATTTACTTAGAACAACGTTTATTTAATATTTTTGGTTTTTTTATTTAATTCAGGCCCATATTACCTTACCGAATAACATACATATGAAATATTTATACAAGATAAATTGCTACTTAAAAGAGCAATATGCAAGTTTCATACTCATACTTCGTGTGATGTGTCTACGTTCCGATTAAGTGGTAAAATGAAAGAAATGTGACTACTAAAAAGTGCTTATATTAAATTTATTCGAATAAATATTATTTGTACTTCTATTACAAATTCTAGGAATTTTTTTTTATTGCTATCTCTTGGTAGTATAATGCTGGTCGTCGTAGAATTAGTTGTTTGTACATTTTTGTAGAATATGTCACTTTTAATATCTCAGAAAATTTTCTAATGTCAACATGTAAACTATATTGTTTTAAATATTTAATCTACTGCTTTTAATTTTCTAATTTTAATATTTAATCTACTGCTGCTTTCTCTTATTTCCAAAAGTATCGCTATCATCCAGTATGACTATTTACTGCAATTGAGAAGATCTGATAAGAAATTCTACAAAATAAGTTTCCCTTAGAATATTTTTAATTGACAGCCTTTGTCTCTGTTGTGGTCTACTGTTGTGGCACACTGCCTTGCTTCGGATGGTCGCGGGTTCGATTCCTCGTACGGCACAAATATTTTTATTCATGAGTGTGATTATTTGTATCTGTGTAGTCGTTTTCTACGTAAAATATGTATTACGAAAAAATATCTATGTATTTGTATCAGTTATCTAGTACCCATAATATAAGCTTTAGCCAGCTTAACTTGGGTCTAGATGGCGCTGTGTGAATTGTCACAGTTATTTCTTTTTGAAAATCACTTTATTTTCGTTTGCCTAATAAATTTTGCACACAGACTTATTCAAGTTCTATTTTCTTTTACCTAATTCGTCTTGGACCCTTCTTAATTACGACTCACATGGACGTTAACGGGGCAGTTCCACACGTAGTTTGTATCTCAGTATTTATACAAAAGCGTTAATTAGCCCATTCGGAAGAATATGAAATTCTTCATATAACGTAAGGTTATATATTTTATCGAATTAGATGTTATTTTGTGGAATTCCGTTTCATTACTGGATTTATATTATACTAGCGGGCCGTCCCGTCTTCGCGCGGTGGATATTTTTACATTTGATCTGATCGTCTAGCAAACCTCTATCTCGGCAAGCGGCTTTGTAAGTTTCTTTAACAATTCCATCAACTGTTTTTAAGTCCTGAAACGATGTTGGGCCACGGTCATGATGAAGTAATATCCTGAGATAACAACATTCTGGTTGGGAAGGATGAATACTGTATCACATATATACAGTATTATATATATATATATATATAATACTGTATATATGTGATACATTATATATAGGATGAATCTTTCTTTTATGCCGGGATGTACAACTACGTTTTGTTCACGTTTGCTTCTAGAAAATTTATTGTTAGTATTGAGTAGTGTTGTAGCAAATCCGTCACTACTGCAGAGGTCAATAAATGCCGTGAGTGTCGTTTTTGGTGGATTTTCTACCGTTTTGCATGTTTCCCGCTGAGAAGTCTACTCGTTGTCCGTTGCCTAAGTGTACTACGGTAGGGTGTCTGTCATGTATAGGAAACTCTAACAACCTCCACACTGTTCATGTGTACTGATGTATACTTTTAAATAATTTCCAACTTCATCATGAGCATTTCTTTGAAAATTGTTTGATCCGATGAATGGAATATAAAAATAAAAAAAGTAAGCTGCAGGTATTGAAACAATTTTGAATACAAAATATTGTTTGGAGTTTTTTGTTGTTATTGATATGTTCTTCAATGTTGTAGAAAATATTTTTGTTCTATCACCAATAGTTTCCGCAATATTTTATAGCATTTTTTTTTACACCCTGAGTTATGTTACTAAAGTTATAGTAAGGATCCCTAATATTTCCTAGAAATAAATATAGCGTATGTTCTTCTGAGTGAATGTAGCTTTCTAATGGTGAAAGAATTTTTAGAATCGGCGAAGTAGTTTTTGAGTTTATTCATTATAAACATACATAAACACAAAAATACAAATATTTCCTCTACATAATATTGGTATAGACTAGCTTTTACTCCTGGCTACGCTCGCATGTTATTTTAAATAAAAAGTATTCTATGACTTTTCTAATATCTCTAAGAACATGTGTACAAAATTTCATAATGATCGCTTCAGTAGTTTTTGTGTGAAAGCGTAACAAACTTTAACATTTACAATCATAGTAAGAATTGTTTAATTCCGCTACCGTTAGCATGTGTGACCACCACAAATATTTTGAATGTAAACCTGACCACTGCTAATGGAAGCGTCATGACTTTATCTATTGGTAATCAAATTCCAACAGTTATTGGATCTAAACCATATTATGACACGTGTTTCGCCTCTAAACGAGGAATCATCAGGCAATGGAGTTCGGATATAGTTTGGAAGCCTAGTGTTGACTGTCGTAGTCTAGTCGCTGAACTGTAAGTAATAAGGCTTAGAAATATTTCTAATACAATAATAACCCAGGACAATTCCCTAATACCAAGCTAGTAGTGCTTTGGTAACCTAGCGGTTAAGGTAATCGCCTTATTGGCTTTACTTCCAATAGCTGAAATATTACAACGTAAATTTAAAAAAAATTAATAAACATTTGTCCACTAAACATTATAAAATGTTGTTAATAAAAGATACGTCCCGTTGTCAGTACTTCTTGTTAAGTATTATAAAACTTTTTTAGTAAAATAATACATGTTGTTGATTAAGTACTTTATATAAATATGTATATTATTGTACTGTATTCCGTACATATACAATGAGCAATAAAAATGCAAAGGGTTGTATATCATGTGAGCAGCGCCGCGTGCTATATCTAGTGTAATATAACATTATATTCAAGATCCCTACAGCCCCTGAAAACTCGATTACAACCATGTTAGTTGCCTACAGGGCATAATTACCTAAAGGAGACCTGAAATTACGGTGGGCGCTCCTTCTAAAATATTGAGGACACATAAGCTAATTTGGTTTGTATGTTGAGCTTGAGATATTCAAAATATGTATATAACATATGGCCGCGGTGGTCCAGTGGTTTAGCATACTGCTTTACTTTCGATGGAAGTGGGTTCCATACGATTTGGAACTTTTAATCCAATTCGCTAAATATTTTTAATAATAGTATAAAACTTGATTACATAGTTATAATTGATAGTGTTATTTTTTTGTTATTGTTATTAATCGTACTATTAAACTTCATGGTATAAAAAAGTAACCGCTGGTGTTTCTTCGCTTATATCTTTTAAATTACACAACGGATTTTAATGCAGTTTCCTGTAATAAATAGAGTGATTGAAGAGGAAAGTTTATATGTATTTCATGTGCGTGTTAAATAAGTTGAAAAAATCGAATATTTGTAATATCGGATACATTACACTGGGACGGGTTGCTTTTAAAACTTATTATATTTCCTTTATACAATAGTAAATAATTAAATTAATAACTGTTTGTTGCTCCTCTTACTGAAAGAAAATAACAATTACATTACCAAATATATAAAGAACCAAATAATTACAATATAGATCTAACGATGGGCGGCCTTATCGCTAAATAGCGATTTCTACCAGCCAACCAACAACGCGCCACCATCGAGATCTTTCTGATTAAATATAATAATATTTTGACTACAACACTCTCGATAAATTTTCATTACGACATTTAAGTTTAAGCAGCATTCTCAGACGAATCAATCACAAATGACCCAATTCAATTAATGTCCGTTACAAGTCACCAATCAGACTGAAATTGACTGTTCGATCTTCTAAATAATTAAGAATGACGTGATTGGATTTAATTTCGCTCTGATTTTATGTATAGCTAAGGCATCAAACGATCTTGCGGCTCACCTGATGGTAAGTGATTACAGCCGCCCATGAACATCCGCAACACCAGGGGAGTTGAAAAGTTGCGATAAGTTCTTTTCTTGGAGGTTTCGATATCGTACGGAAATACCATTGCTGAAAGGTGATCCACAATGTGATGTGTGTGTGCGTAGCAGAATGTTTCTGGAAAAACGCGCGTTGGAGGAGCGTCATTCATCAAGATGATTGAATTCTTTTAGTTTCAGGCGGGTAGTGCGATGGTAAAATTCAGAATACTCTCCGTGATGTATGCGCTAGAAAATACACAGACATGCAATGATTACGTTTCAAAAATTTGATATCGGTTGCGGATTTGTTTCCTCCTTCATTTGTATACATAAGTACACTTGTTTGTATCGATCTAGGTGTTTCTATGTATATTATGTCTGTATTTATAAAAAATCTGATCATTTAAATCATTCGTCTAGTACCCATAACACGAGTAAGTGAGATTGTGTTATGGGTATTAGACTTAGACTAGATCGCTCTGTGTGAATTATTCTGGATTACTATTATTATATTAGACGATTACCACTTACCATCAGGTAGACCGTCAGCATCTTTATCATTCCAATTACACCAAAAAAGCCATACCGATTCGAGTTTGAAACTTTCAACTCTCGATTCGCTTTGCCCACTACACTTAATGCATACACATAACTCTCCACTCCAACTTACAGCAACATTGAAAGTTCCCCGTTGTTCATGCTCAATTATCGCCACACATATGACTCTATAGGGAACGTATAATCACGTTATACGGACTTTGGGCTTTGCAGATTTCACATCCGCCGAATGCGAAGTAAGTTGACAACTTTGAATGCTTCGCTTCTAAATTCAGTTACAACAAGCGTTAATTTTGAATGTATTTAATCCCAATCAAAGTCAAAAATCATTTATTCATGTAGAACATTCTAGCTGCTTATGAACATCAAGATTTTTGTATTAATATTTTTATCCTTGCTGGTAAGTTAGGATAAAAATAGTTCAGTACATAGATTCAATTGAGAAGGACTGGCAAGAAATTCGATAGATTTTTTTTAACAGTAGTTAAAAAAAATTCTAAATATATATTTAAAAAAAAATTTTTAACAGTAGTACCAGTTTATTTGCACTTATATTCGTCTTGGTCCCCCGCCAACGTATAGCACACCCGCCTGCGCAAATGGTATACGTTGCCACCATACTAATATCATCTATATAAAAAAAAATGGCATTCCCAATGAGTTAGAATAAAAATATGACTGTTCAGAAGAATCATATACACTTAGGAATAAAATATACATAAAGATAACAAATTAAATTCTTTCTTTTCATTTTAAAGGCCTCGATGGTCTGGTAGATTAGCACACCATTTTACTTCTGATTGTCGCGGGTTCGTTTCCTCGCATTTACAGTACAAACATTTTTGTTCTTGAATATGATTGTTTGTATCGGTCTGAGTGTTTTCTATGTATATTATGTATGTAATTACTAAAAATATAGTATTTATATCAGTTGTGTAGTGGGTACTAGGGACTAAGACATATTTTTTTGTAAATATATATGTACATATTATACATAGAAAACAGAAACAATCATACTCATGAATAGAAACGTTTGTAAGGCTAGACTACCGTCAATAATGTCAGTTATTAAATTTTTAATATCTTCATGTCTGTTTAATTGATAAATATTTCTTCATCAAATACCGAGTATATACCACCCACCTCCGTTCATCCCCGTTCCGACCCCTTGCCGCCCTCAGGGTATGAGTAATTTTCAGGTTTCATTCCAGCTTGGCAGGTGTCGGAATGTTCTGAATTTTCACTGCATTTTACAGTGTTACATTACATCAGAATTTACTTTATAGTAGAGCAAAGCTTATTGTATAGTTTTTACCTGCATGCGAGATTTGTATATGATTCTTTATCTATATATACATCTTTACATAGTATAAAATGGAGTCGCTTCCGCTGTGTGTTCACTTAGATCTTTAAAACTATGCAATGGATTTTAATTCAGTTTTAGCAATAGATAGAGAGATTCAAGAGGAAGGTTTATCAACATCATCTGCTGCTTCCTTATCCCATTTAATTAGGGTCGACGTAATATATTTTTCTCTTCCATTCATGCATGTATAATATTATATATGTCAAGCTCATATGTAAATAATAAGAGCCGAGTTTCTTATTAGTTCTTATATACTGTTTATATAGATAAACCTACATGATTAAATATATAATAATTATATAGATAAACTTACAATTTTTCTCTGCACAACCTGTGGTTGACTGGGAGAAAATGCCGTAAGGCGTTAAGTCCGCCATATGTACTTTTACCTTCGTATTTTGTGCATTGAAGTTATATAAATAAATAAATTAAAGTTAATTTGTTTTGAATTCTAAAAAAGTGCTTGTTTAAAGTAATCATTCTTGAGTAGTGTACTAACGAGATATGACTAGTTCAAGAGTGCTACGTTACTAAAACAGAACTGTGCAGTGTTAACGAAAGTTTTCTCATTTCAGGTAAGTAGACCAACTAGTAGAAGGACCACAATGTAGGTAAGCAGGTAAACTTTACATCCATGTAATAAAGTTGAAAATGCAATGTGTTTTGCGTATTTTAATAATTAATATGGGATTATAATCCGGTTAAGATGAGGATGTTCACTTAATAAGCAATTTTGTATGTGAGAGGCTTATTATTTTGATATACAAGTAATATGGCACGTACATATTAAATTATAGGGTGCTTGTGTACTGCGGTTCTATCAGAGTATATAACGTGTTATGTTATAAAAATAAATCTGTACAATGACGAACTTATCTAAGTCAGGGATTTCTTTCAGTCAATTTTTAAACGGCTGAGAGGAATTGTAATGGAAATAAGGCAGAATAAACTAAACTATTTTTTTTAAAAGGAACAGTAAATGTAATTAATATCTACACAAGTACATACATGCAAATATACATAAACAAATATATGTATTAGGTGACCGGTTTTACTATATAAATTAAAGTAGTAATATCTCTATTAAAATAGGGGTTGATTGTATATTATAAATAATATATTTTTATAAATAACTTTAAATATAAAAATGTGTCCAAAAATATAATATACTTTTTTAGGTGGATTCTTATTGCACACCCTTATTCCTTAGGTATACGAAAAATAGTACATCTTTTACTCAGACCTACTGAATATAAACACAACATTTCATAAGAATCGATCAATCCATTTCGGTGCAGTTTTGTCACGAACACTGCGACACGAGAATTTTATATATTAGAAGATAATGATGATGAAGATATGTAATTCGTTCTCCGGAATGGTATAGAATGGTAACATCACGTCATCATGCAAGACCCGCGCACGATGTCGTGATGTCCGTGATGTTGTTCGCGTACGTAAGCGTTGCTTACCACTCACTATTATGATAGCACTATGCTTACCATTCAATTCACATAAAACAACAAAACTTTCATCTCAGTGTAAGAAGCAACGGTAAAAATATATGTAGGTCATTATTATAATGGAAATGCACTTAAGTGTAATGCATTCCATTTTAAGGTAGAAGCACAATTTACGTGCCACGTTGTAACGAGAACTGCTGTTTGAACACAACGAATTAATAACACAAATACGTCATACGTCATATTCGTGAACGAGTGCTGCCTGTAGTGAGTAGGTAGTAGAGTTAATTACTACGACTGATTTAATTTTATTGTGTACTGGCTGTACCAAAATAAAGAATTTTTTGTAAAAAAATAAAGAATTTTCTAAATTAAAAGTAGCCTAAGTTACTCCTTATTATATCAGCTACCTCCAATACAGGTCCCATCAAAATCGGTCCAGCCATTTCAGAGATTAGCCAGAACAAACAGAGATACAGACAGACAAAAATTGTAAAACATGTTATTTTGGTGTATGTATTTATATTCATATGTATGTAGTAAAAAACGGTTATTTCAATATTACAAACAGACACTCCAATTTTATTTATATGTATAGATTTAATATTAGACCTTAATAAATTAGTTTTAAGTTTATTCGAATTAAGGATTTTCTATTCTTGTATGCTTCTGAGACATGGACCTGGTAATCGCACGTAAAATCCAAAATAGATGCTTTCGAGATGTGGTGCACCACGTGACCCGTTGATAACCAGATAATTTGGAAAAATGTATAATAGTAGACCACGTGGACTGAAGAACGGGCAGAGGTAGGGCACCTGCACGTTGGACTGATCCTGTACGAGAGGCCGTCAAACGAAATATACAATCGGCGATCCACTTACTACAGGATAGAGCCAAACTTTCCAACCAAAACTCTCCAAGTTTTGGTTGGAACAAGCATTCCTGGTGGTCACGACCCTCAGTCTTGATGAATCGACAAAGAAGAATTCTATTCTACTCTAAATATTAGCATATATAAAACTGGACTGAGCTACCTCCAAAGATTTTCTCGAAAGACTAAAGCATTAGGTTTTTCAGAAAGGTTTTTTAATGGTCGGTAAAGCGCACGTGACACCCCTGGTGTTTCAGTCGTCCATAGACTATGTTTACCAACAGATGTGGCGTATTTCATCGTAGTAAAAAAAAATACATCCACTGTGTGGTTGTCAAATCACAGAGGCCATCAATAATAATATCATATTAATAACCCAGTACAACTCATACAGCGCCATCTAGTCACTAAATAAGCATACTTTGTATTATGGGTCTAGACAATGTATAATTATTAATTTAAACTTTCTGCAGTCTTTTTTACGCCACTGCATTCATGAAGAGGGGTAAGTTGTAGCTACTATTAATATACGGTAAAAGTTCTTAAAGTTTTGTTTAAGTAAACCAAATGTACTTTGATACAGGTTAAACAATTTAGTATACAAATATATTATTATTATGATATGGTATTCAAGCCAGTGAAAACTAGCTATATCCGGTTATATCCGGTCCGGAAGTTCCGTCGCGTCCGCTGTGCCAATAATATTTGATGCGACGAGGATCCCGTCTTGAATTTTTAGTAGAAAGTACTCTCGCAAACTGAAGACTTAATAAAATATTGTACCAGACGAGTTTCTTGCCTGTTAAGTATCTAGTTAAACTGGACGGTACGTACAGTATTAGCAAAAACGTTGACGTGCAAGTGGTAAAAAATGTCCTGTATAAATTATAGACTGAAAGCAAGGAAGACATATTTTCTCTTTATTTTTCTTACACAGAGATGCTTCCAGTAGCGGTGGTCAGGTTTCCGCTCTGAATATTTGTGGTCTCACACATGCTGAATTAGACCAAATAATATACATTCATTAAATATATGTAGTTCCTCTGTGGTTCATAATATGCATCTGGGCGACAAAGCTTTGCTTGGCATTTCTTTTTGTACAAATAAGTGAGATATACAGCTTTTAACCCCGTGTAAACTGGCTATATCCAGTTATATCCGGTCCGGAAGTCCCGGTGCCCCGTCTTGTCTACTATGCCAATATTATTTGACGTGACGAGGATCCTATCTTAAAATTTTAGTTGTAAGTTCTCTCGTAAAATATAGATGGTATTTATGTAATCAGTCACTACGACAGCTGATCATGATGATGCTATTAATTTTAACAATAGCAGCACGAGCCGGTTTCGCTTTACGTATTTTAATTATTTGGAGCTGGAGCTATGGCCGAGGATAAACTAGTAAAGAAAACTCAAAATATAAATAAACCTTATTTTAACCGACTTCAAAAAATGAAAAAACACAATTGGTGACAATGTCCGTCCATGTTATATTATCATAGCTGGACATTTGATAAATAAAATTCGTGTCTTAGTACTAAAATTGAAATGTGCGGCAACAATTCTGATACTGAGACCCATAACCTGAGTAATACCTTCAGAATTTGTTAGATTCCCAGATTTATTGATTTTTAATGAGATGTTTGAGAATCCTACAAACCTTTGTATACATATATGCTTCCCTATACTTAAATAAAAACAGATCTTTTCTCAATTACACTTATACTAACTTACATTATGATCATTCTCACAATAAACCAGTAGATTTATGTATTTTGTCGTAAAACAGGAATGCGTTTTAGAATTTAAAACGTACGTGCAAATAAAGTTTAGTGTGTGATCGTGGAGTAACGGCAGTAAGAATTGTAACCCATAAAATGCACCGCCAATATCATACCATAAAGTTTTATGAACCATTTTATGATTGAATATATCGATATGGGGTTTATCTTTAGATTGGTGTGCTATGCAAAAAATTGATACGAATTTAGTAGTAATACATGAAAAATATTTATCTGCATGTGAAATATAATATTTTAGTACAGCAAGTTTATCTTATATACTTTATATATATAAAAATAGAATGACGTTTGTTTGTGTCGCTGAAACTCGAGAACGGCCGATGACGACTCAGAATTATTGAAATTAAAATTACAGTCGAGTGCTGATAAACTTGTGAACATATAACACTTAAAATTGTATTTCCTATTCATACTGCCATTTTTAATACAACTATTGGTCGCCAAGTGTTTAAATTCGACCATAATTAATTTAACAGTCATTAAGACCATAGACAAACAATATTAATTTCTCAATTTGACCGCAGATTTTAATAAAAGAGTGTGTATATCATAAAACATGGTAGCGAGTGTAATGTTTTTTTTTATTTTATTAAAGTATTATATTTATTAATATTATATTTTATATGCATAATTAAATAAAATATTAAAATTTCGTAAAACGGTGTACAAAGTTTTTGCTTCATGTATTAATGTATTACAATAAATATTGTGTACTTTTAATTTTAAATACAATTTATTCTCGTTAAAATCCAAATTGTCCTTTTATTTAAAAATAAGCCTATTGTCACAGTATCTCTGGAGCGGATAATGCTCGTTATCCAAAGTTCAATGGATTCCATCTTGCTGATAGCCTTTATTAGATTTTGAGATTAATGGCTCCATTTATAGGGTCTAAAATGATTTCTTTATTCACTTCGACTGATTTTAATACTTCAAATATGAAACGGGAATTCGTGAAAATTATAATATTCTCATTTTCGATAATAATTCTCGGAATTTTAGGTGAAATATCGTAATTGCCTGTTTGCGAAGTTGCTGTCTACTTTTGTTTTAAAAAATATTTGGTGGTGGATTTTTAAAATGTATAGTTATCGAACTAACACTATTATAATTTAATAATAGTATAACAATAATCATCTCGGGACAATTCACACAGCGCTATTTAGTCCTAAGTTAAGTTGCCTAAAGCTTGTCCTATGGGTACTAGATACAAATACATAGATTTTGTAAATTTTTTCGTAAATATATACATAGAAAACACCCAGACTAAAACAAACAATCATACTTATGAATATAAATTTGTTTTTTCGTGTACTACAGTCTGTCACAATTGAACATTATTATGTTTGTTGGATTGTCTCGTATGTGAATTGTTCAGATCTACCGAAATATATATATATATATATATAACAAAATACCTAAAAAAGGCGAAGGTAGAATATGTAACTCCAATTTTATACATAGCATGTTTGTCATCGTAAAGCGTACAGTTTGGTGGGTAGAGAACAGATTCAGCATTTGCTAACATTGCTCCATATTTCACGGTTTATGGCACACGCGCCGCTGCCCATTAATATTACAGGATACAGCTTAAATTAATAAGCATACAGGTCCGTTGTACTGGCAGTAGGAAACTGGTCAGGGATGCCAAACGTAGCAGGACTCCCGGAAAATACAATATTATTCGCTACGAAGACATTTTCCTTCTCGTCTCGTACTTATCTTACTAATATCAATTATGTTATCTGTGCTAATATTATAAACGAAGTTTGTCAGTGTGGATGGATGGATGTTTGTTAATCTTTCACGCAAAAACTACTGAATAGATTTTAATGAAACTTTACATATAAAATATAGATATAATTATACATTAGAGAACAAATGTATCATGAAGACAGCTAAATTAGACAGGATAAATCTACCCATAGAGTAGATACTAAAATAATTCAGATGCACATATTGTATCTGATATATTTTAGTATCTACTCTATTTTCTTAGTTTAATAATGAATTTATTAAAAAAATATTCTACGATATTTTAATGTACAAAAATTCATCGAAACACTATAAGAGGTTAAAGAGAATTTAGAACAAATTTAGATGATATGCGAGAATTTATTATTATTTACCTATATCGTTTTATTTTTCACGAAAATAAGTGTTTTCGTGTTGGCAACCCTGAAACTGGTTTACTGAATCGTATATAAAGTTTATCTGGTGTATGTCTTTATATACGAATGTACGAATTCGTCCTAGGTGGACTGTATACAAGGTGATCTGCGTGGGCACCTCTGTCAAACATACATATTTCAGCCGCCAATAGAATATGCTTTATTTGTAACATACAATGAAGAAAAGACATAAAAATATATTAAATAACACATGTATAATAAATACTAACAATAAGGTAAATTCATCGTTAAAAATCACTCATATTATTAAACCTGTTTTTAGGACTTATGAAATGTACATATATATATATATATATTTAGTACAGAAGAGTTTATCGTTTAAAGTACAAGTAATAGGATAACGAAATAAATGACTGCTACAATAGAAATCGCACAAAAGAACTCTTCGCATTCATTCGTTCAATTGTTCGTTCAATTCATTCGTTCTTTACAATCGCCTAAGTGTCTATTATTGCTCTTCGTGTTAAGAAAACTATGTCCAATCTGTACTAATATTATAGACTATAAAAAATATTTTTTATAGCATTGCTTTGGCTCTGACTAAGGGGTGAATGGGAATTAGTAATGTGGATTAATAACGGGATCAAAGTACCATGTCAGCTTGACTTACAAGTGGTTCCTCTGGACACCATCGTTATAAGTCCCTGATGAATACGCCACTGTGATAACTGATTCCACCTCATTCTCATCTTATTTTCTACTGGTGCCCTGCCAGCGTATACCATTAGCGCAGGCATGCATTGGGTGCATTCTATTGTCGTCAATTATGAATTAAGAAATTTCCCTGACTATCTCATTTTAGTAATAGTCGTAACGGTATGTTAATAAACTTATTTGTTACATAGACATCCATTTATTATTTAAAAAGAAAACAATTTTATAGAATCTCTAAAATGTTTTTTAACAGATTCGCAGAATTATAATAATTAACCTGCTGTATTTCCTTAATAATTTCAAAATGTTCAGGCATAATAAAAGATAATTCCATAGCTATACTTCAATCGAAAGAATCAGGAGCCATTTGTATTCTGTGGTTTGCGTCAAAGCATTTTCCCTCGCGAGTTTTGGCGAAACAATTTCTTAATTATCATGTTAATTGGGACGTACGTAGGTCTCCGTACTGATGGAATTAATATACACAACGAATTTGACAAAACAGGAAATTTGTAAAACAAAGGTTAGTCAGGTAAATATATATATATTTCAGGTCTTGAAATTTTATTTATTTTAAATCCTGCGTGGATTTAAAATAAATCAAATAAAATAGCTAAAGTTACATTAGCCGTCTGTAGTGAAATTTCTATTAGCAAGAACAAATAGATAGAATCTACTAATCTCAGTTTTATTTTTTATGCAACTTAATTTAGGTTTGAAAATAAAATATAATAAATTAACCTGTCGATGATTCTCGTCATCGACAGGTCAATTCATCCCCACACGCTGAAACGTAAATGGTCTCGGACAGTGCGGTTTCAGAGAAGCTTCCTCCAGCATACACTTAGATTGTAGAATGAACTACCTGCCTAGGCTTTCTATAGAGATTATAGCATGGTGTTTTTCAAGAAGAATAAATTAAGGTTTCTTATAGGTCGGCAACGCGCACGTGACACCTCTGGTGTTTCAAGCGTCTATATGGTATGGAACCATTTATCATCAGATGTGTCGTATGCTTGATTATATAGAAAAATAATCCCGTCATTGTAAGTCACTCCGTCCAGCGTAGCTGCTCAGTTTCGCCTTCTTCCGTTTCCGTCCCGCTACAACTGTGGTTTTGTCACCTAATGGGTCAGGTGTACTCGTTGGTATAAGGGTTGCTAAGTAGTCAAACAAAGGTCTCCTTGTCGTGGTCGTTGTTCTCTTCCTTCCGCGGTAGTAGCCCGGCATCTGTACATAATGCAAAACGTCGCTAAAAATGAGCGAAGCAGTATATTACCATTCAATTTCCGTAGCTGAATGATAGGTTGTTTTTATTAAATGCAAGGTGCGTGAGACCAGTCTTGACGGTTTAGCACACCGCCTTACTTTCGATGGTCGCGGGTTCGATTCCTCGCATGGTATAAATGTTTTTATTAATGAGTATGTATTTACAAAAAAAAAAAATATAATATGTAATAATAATAAATATTTATGTATTTGTATCTGTTGTCTAGTACCCATAACACAAACTCTGATTTGCTTGGGACTAGATGGCACTGCGATGTGAATTTTCTTGAGATATTATTATATACTACTAGCTGTTCCCGCGACTTCGACCGCGTGGAATTTAACTTTATTTTTCTAAAATAAAAGTAGCCTAAGTTACTCCTTATTACATCAGCTACCTGACAAAAAAAGCCCCGGTAAAGTCGGTCCAACCATTTCTGAGATTAGCCGGACCAAACAGACAGACAAACAAAAACTGTAAAAAAAATATTTGGTGTATATACCGTATTTATATTCATATGCATGTAGTAAAAAACGGTTATTACTTACCTTATCATATTGGTAAATAATATATACATTTACCTATATGGTAAGTTGTATACATGAACATCATCATGGATATTTCGAAATATACTGTGTTGATACTATGCCATTTTAATTTCTATCTATTTGAAATAAATATTTGCATAATCAAAGCCCAGAAACAAAGGTTGAGAAGCGAGCAATAATTAGATAGAACTTTGTCAAAATCTTTCTCCAGTAAAAGACTATGTAATATTACGAAAATCCCTGAAATCTCTAGAAATATATCACGAATATAATAATGCATACATACAGTTTCATTGATGGTTTCTATCCAATCGGCATAAGCTCCCACGAGAGTAAACACAGTGGGCGCATTCGGGTATCCGCAAACAGCTGGACCAAATGAAATTATGCCAACGAGTCTGCCAGCCAAAATGACCGGACCACCCGCGTCGTGCTGTATTAATATTTAAATAAATAAAAAGATGGTATGGTATAGTCACTATTAGTAGTTATGACGTAGTAGAGTGGATTCAGTAGTCGTGTTCACTAAAATATGGTCGAGCGCAGTGATGGCTGGCTCATACGTCATACTAGTGAACGAGTGCTGCTTATAGGGACTGGTCTGCTCTTATCACTACGACTGTTTCGTGTGTCTAATGTCTGACCCTAATGAATTCGCGCTAGTTGGTAGTTTATATTCACACGTGTCGAATTAAAAGTGTTAAGTTACAATTATTATAAATAAGAGAAGATTATATAAAAAAGCAACACGCAAGTTTCTCGTCCGTTCTTTTTGTGATGAAACAGCTTTCCGAATGAGCGGTAGATTAAAAGAATGATAACTATGACTATTCAAAAGTGCTTAAATTAAGTTTGTCTCAATAAATGATTTTCTATTCTATTCTAATATATAAGTTATTATATATTACTGTGAAGTTCCATCAAAATCCGTAGTATATATGTCGGTAGTTCTGAAAGAGTAACAAACATCCATCCATATATACTGACAAATTTTCGCGTTCGTAATATTAGTGTAAGACCTTGTAACAAACGAACTTACATCGCACGCTCCCTCGCCAGTCGTCAGTGTACCAGCGCAGAACATCGTTGACGTTATAAATTTACTAGAACATAAAAGATAACGCTAATATATTATTCACGACATTCCAAGGCATAAATCATGAATAAAAATATCTCTTGAAATGCTTTATAAAGAATACGTGAGATTAATTATGAAATGGATACAGTTGGTATTAGATATGATGGATCTAGATTACACAGTTATAAAAAATTGTTGAATTATAAATTAGATTATTAGAGAAATTTCGTTTTTCATTCTAAAATAACACTATATGTAGTCTCTTTAATAAATAGATTTTCACGAAATTAAGAATGTGTATTTATATGTACATAAGAAAACTAGAAGCGAATGCGTGATATGCGCATATGAGCTCGTGAGCGCGTTTCACGCATTCTAGAATCGCGCATGCTTTAGCTTTTTGTAATAATTAATTATCATTGCAAAATGGCAGATATCTGACTATGAAACAAAGACATAGTTATTGATAATTTGTAAATCTGAAACCTGTCTTTGGAAACTAAATCTGTGTAATATTATGTAAAATTTTAAAAGAAAATGAAATGGCACTTAACATTTCCCCAATCATGCGCGTAGGTCTGAACACAATGTATACTCACGGTTGCGTACGCTGTCTTTCCCGCGATAAATCGCGCGTAGACGAATATGTCGTGTAAAGGCAGTAGGTATATTTATTTACTTACTAGGTATCCAGGCAAACGTTGTTTTGCCATATAAATTAATAACACTTTAAAAAAATGAGGGTTGGTGATAGAAGGGTAAAAACTTAGGGTTGTATGTATTTTTTAATAATGCAGAATACTAAAATAAAAAAAAAATACCCAAAAAATAAAAAAAATAATGTTAGGAGTGGACAACCCTTATCACTTAGGGTTATGAAAAATAGATAGTAGCCGATTCTCAGACCTACTGAATATGCATACAAAATTTCATAAAAATCAGTCAAGCCGTTTCAGAGGAGTATAGTAACTAACATTGTGACACGAGAATTTTATATATAAAATTATTTATTAACTCTCTTTATTGCACTAGAAATAAATTACAAAGAACATAAATAGAAGTAATAAGGTCCAAAGGTGGTGTTATCGCGTAGGCAATCTCTTCCAGACAACCTTTGTTTAGAGGAGAGAAGACAGAAAGTGGTAGATGGTGCAAGAATGGACTGAAATAAAAAAAGACATAACAATGTTATATTGAGTGGGAGTCACATTCAGCGATATCAGTAGTTTTTAACTTTGAAGATATGTAAATCTTATGTATAAAATTCTCGTGTCACAGTTTTCGTTCCCATACTCCTCCGAAACGGCTTGATCGATTCTCATGAAATTTTGTGAACGTATTGAGTAGGTCTGAGAATCGGCCAACATATATTTTTCATCCCCCTAAATGTTAGGGGTAGTCCACCCCTAAATGTTTTTTTATTTTAAGGCAAAACAACGTTTGCCGGTACAGCTAGTATAGTATAAAAGTTTATTTTACACCCTACTGATACTGATGTAGTGCTGAATATACGTCTTTTATTATTATTAATTACTAACTCTCCATAAACTTCTTTGCAGAAGGTATTAGGATATACCGGTAGAAATTTCCGCTGTAAAAATATTGGTTCGTATGCCAATTTTTGCGAGATCTGAAAACAATGAATAAATCGTCCGTTTAATTTTTATTGGATTTCTGTTTTTTCTTGTTTTGTTTCGATATTCCATATGGTTATATATGTAATATCGAATAGAAATCAATAAACATATATCCCATTCAAAAAACTTTACGAAAATTGACCAATACGCCGGCTATTATAGAGCCTTTATTAAAAAACCTTGTTTCAGTCATAAATAATTCAATTATTATCTCCAGCAAAGTAAAAGGAATCCTTGTGTATGGGCCGAAAAACTTTGTTTGAATGAACGTGAATATTTTAATTTCCTTCCCTCGGGAGCGGTATATTTTTCCGTAGAAACAAACCTCTGTTCGTTCTTATTATGTTAGCGCTTTGTTAGCGAATTTTTATGGAGAACACTTTAATAGTTCACTCGTTCAAAGACTCACTTTGATTTAATTAATGCAATATTCAAGTTTAATGCCATTAAATTACATTTCAAAGTTGTTTCTGTAGGTATCTCTATCAATTTTTTTATGTATATATAGAACAAATCGTCGAGAGAGGTAAATACCTTTATCTGCCATAAAATTATTCGTGTTAAGACCCGGTTAATAATTTAAATAATGTGCATTAAATACGAAAGTTTAAAAATAACTATATATAACAAAGCTGATTATATTGAACAACTAGGGAAACCTGTATCGCGGGAGCCCACAAAAGAATTGCTGTATCATTAGAATCTGCACTACAGCAGACTCTAATGATGTCTCAAATCTACTCTATTCACTGATCTGTCATAGTTTATAACATCTGGCAATTCTTTTGTGGACTCCTGCGATATAGGTTCGCTTTTGAAGTGCCATCTAACCCTAAGCTAAGCAGAGCTTGTGTTATGGAACCTAAGCAAGTGATATAAATACATAGATTCATTTTTTGTAAATATTTATTTAATACATATAGAAAACACCCAGACCGAAAATAATCATACCCATGAATATATATTTATTTATAGAGGAATCGAATCGACTATGAGGAAGTAAAGCGATCTGTTAAACAGCGAGACAACAGACGTCAGTCGAAAATATGACGTCGAATATCATACCTTTGTGACTCCCCATCCAAGTAGTAATATTTCGGCTGTAGCTGGCAGGCCATAAGGATTGTGGGATATCGGAATGATTTTTGGTATCCGATGATAGTTGAAGCGTAAATGATACCGCAGTCGAATTACAGCTATGTTATTACTGAGTGTCCGTGGATTGTAACTAGGATGAAAGTATACCTGATAAAGATAGAAAATAATATTATTTCTGTAAAGAGGGACATTTTGATCTGCGATTTTAAGGTGCAATTCTGTTGAAACATGATTATGGTATTGTAATTTCGTGATGATGACGTTTTAGTCCTCTATGTAATGGATGCATTAGTGGCCAGAAGTATCCAAAACGATTAAATGATTTCAAATTTCAATCATTGCATTTTAATATTACTTTATTTATATATTACTACTACTATTATATAATATGTAAAATCAAAATCAAAATTAATTTATTCATGTTTGATATTTTAGCCGCTTATGAACGTCAAGTTTTTTGTGTTAACATTTTTCCCCCACCGTTTAAAACAGTGAAATTACAGGATAAGAAGCATGGCATCTAAGTCCTCGGAAATGACAATGCAGGAGTGTGTGACATGATTGAATGATTTCTCTAGAGCTGATCACATATATAGGCGAAGGTTACCACTTACCATCAGCTGTGTGGTCAGTTTATTTGCTATTCAATTACATGCAAAATTATCAAGGACCTTGATTCAACCCAATACTAAATTAGATAAATTTTATACTGAATTATTGACCTCTAAAGCATCTACGAGTTCTCCTCCTATCCTGCTGTGATTGCTGCCTACTCTGACAGCCAAATTTTTAGGATTCTCACGATAAAAGCGGTTGTTGTGCATCCTATAAAAGAATATATGTTTATTGAAATAAATTATGGATTATAATATAAGTAAATACAAATTATAACAATAATCACATCGCAGAAAAACTCAAACAGCTTCATCTAGTCCTAAGCTAAGTAACTTATGTTATGGCTACTATTCCACGGATATAAATAGTTAGATATATTTTTTTGTAAATACATTCGGTGATAGGGTCAGACCTTTTACAGCTTCAGTGAATCATAGGGGGCGAGTGCAGATGGCACTCCAAACCCGCGTAAGGACCTATGGAGCAGCTGAATGGCAACTCTTGCATAACGGATACGATTTTAGTCTGAAGACACCGCTAGTGTTTCGAACCTCGACTCAGGTCGTCGTAATTTCGATCCCCATTTGAATTGGATAGGAATTGATCAGAGGATCGATCGTGGAGAGGAGGAAGAAGGATATCGAAAAATCAGTGATGTCTGTAATATTGTTCATGTATATAGACGACAGCTATCGCTTACCTGTTTGTTATACTAATTATATAAAAAAAACTAGCGTTTTATTGGTCTAAGGTAACCTTTTAAATATACCTGGTAAACAAAACAGAGTCTTACACCTATATAATTTAAAACTCCTTTTCAGCGACAGCTTTCATAAAATATTTTACCTGTCATATTTATATCATGACCTACAAAAAGTTCTAAAGTTTGGAAACAATGCGGATCATTGTTAGTAACAAGTTCGAGCCATTACTCAATTTAGATTGAAGATTACGAACTATCATTAGCAAGTTGTGAAGTTGGTACACTTGAAATGAATTAAAATTAATTGTTATCTATATTGTAACATTTAATTATTAACTTTCGTCTTAGTAACAATGTAATAGTAAAATTAATTTAACTAGTTACGTTGTGTGAAATATCCAGGCTAAATAGTAATCTCCACCTAAGGAGAGTTAGTGTTATAAGAACTAGACAATTCATAGATATACTATATGATACACATTTTTTCTCAGGCTGATACAAAAATCATACCCATGTATACAAATGTTTGCGTGCGAGGATTCGAACCTCCGACCATCGGAGTAAAACGGTGTGATAAACAGCTATACCACCGAGGCTATCAATTCATATCGTTATTTATTAATAATATTTATTTAGCAATTATCATTAGATAGTATAAAACAAAATCGCTGTCGCTGTCTGTGCCTATGTATGCTTAAATCTTTAAAACTACGCAACGAATTTTGAAGCGGTATAATGATATAAACACAAGAGTTTCTGAGTATGGATGGATGGATGTTTGTTTGTTTTTTCACGCAAAAAGTACTCAATGGATTTTAATGAAACTTTACAATAATATAGCTTATACATCAGAATAACTCATGGGCTATAAATTTCTAGAAGAAGAGTATCCATATACATTTGAGAGTCCGTATGTTTGTCTGCCTGCTTGTAAACTTTTGATTTTTAAACTGCTGAACTGATTTTAACTACACAAGCCCTTCCTACGCTGTACACATAATGCCTTAAGGGATGTAATAATTATTTATTTTCTTTTTCAGGTAAGTAATTGAAATCTACTAAACTATTTACTGGTAAGTTAACTATAACTGTGGTATGCTGCAAGAAGTCAAAGGTTGAGAATGGTTCGGGAACCATTTATATATGGGGGATGCCAATATACAACTATAAATAGCTATGTAATATTATATTATCTGTGAAACAGCCAAAATAATTATTATACGAAGGTGAAGCTAATACAATTAAATTAACAAGAAAAATTAAAGTTTATGTCGAGTCATCTACAAGAAAAACTCAAGTAGTAAAAAACGGTTATTTCAATGTTACAAACAGACACTGAAATAAAATTATTTATATGTATAGATTGTTACAAGTGCAATAAAGTATATAAGTAGTCTCGTCGCCGAACAGTTACCATTAGGCTTCCAAGCTATATCCGAACTTTATTCATTGCGTGACGATGCCTCGTTCAGAGCCGAAACACGTGTCAATATGAGGGTAGACTCAATAACGGTCGGAATTTGAGATAGAGAAGCTCACAACGCTTCCAGTAGCGGTGATCAAGTTTCCTCATAGAATATTTGTGATCTCTTACAGGCTAATAGTACCTTCATTATCTATACATCTATACATATAAATAAAATTGAAGTGTCTGTTTGTAGTATTGAAATAACCGTCTTTTACTACATGCATATGAATATAAGTACTGTACATATACCAAAACCACTTTTTACAATTTTTGTCTGTTTGTCTGTCGGTCTGTTTATTCCGGTTAATCTCTGAAATGGCTGAACCAATTTTGACGGGATTTGTATTGGCAGATAGCTGATGTAATAAGGAGTAACTTATGCTACTTTTATTTTAGAAATTTAAAGTTAAATTCCACGCGGACGAAGTCGCGGGTCCAGCTAGTACAAAATAAAATAAGTGAACACTATAATAAGTCCAGTGAGTAATCGTCAAAAAATGTATGCTATATTCGTGTTTCTAAAGCATGACTTAAAAACCATACATACACCATGACTGAAGATTTTAGAAACTCTGTATCAAGCAACTGTGTAGTCCGCTTTTGAAAACGTTGACGCATTATTATTGAAAATTTGTACTTACAACTGCAAGCAAGATGCTGATGTCAACACCAGGTCATGCCAATATATGGACCCTCCACACCAAAACCGTCCCATTACGTGAACAGATACCATGAATGGATAATATCGGATGGTGGTCCGTTCACCTTTAAATATGCGGCGACCATCGTGTTGATGGTACTCTTTTAGATGTTCAAGTTCACCTTGAGGATCTAAGCAAATCATTTACAAATTAAAAATCATTAACAGTCAACGAGCAGTTTTCATTTAGTATCTAAACTAGTATTCTGTTAATATTATCTGTCTGTCTTAATTTTTATTACGTTATTATCTTATGAACTTTATTCATTATTCAAAATAATTAGGTACATCCTGACTTTGCCCAATTGATTATTATTAATCTATTTATAGGTCTCTCTACTGCTTTTGATTATATTTATTGTTATGAAAATTTCGACGGCGAAATATTTTTGAAACTTGGTATTTTTTAAGTTATAAATTAAAACTAAAATAATACTCTTTCAAAATATCAGACTATACTCGTCTATAACGGTGATCTTACTTTCTTGAAATTAAAACCACGTTATTAGGGATATATATATATAAATAGAAATATCAGAGAAGTACAATGGTTAAATTAAAATTAGTAAACATTGAATATTATACTCACTACTTAAATTATTAACCGGGTCTTAACACGAATAAATTTATGGCAAATAAAGGTATTTACCTATCTCGACGTTTCGACTAGGTTGCACTTGCCGTGGTCATTATTATTATTATTCATAATAACTTAAATAATGTATATTAAACATGAAAGTTTAAAAATAACTATTATACTAACCCCAATACATACTGGCATTCCGTTTAAAATCGTATTTATGATTATCATTTGGAACTTCTGCAATAAGTTTGTCGACAACCATATTAACGCCGTCATTGTCATCAAGATCATCTAAATGGTCTTCTCCCATCATTTTTCTTGCAGATGCTTTTATATTACTATCTTCTGCTTTGTCTGCTAGTATTTTTAATATATCATCTCTATTCATTTTTTCTTTCAACTTCAAATAAAGACTCTTCGGATCATTCTCCGTTAAAAATTTAAAATGATCCTCTTCTATTAATGCCTTATAGAAGTTAGTTTCGTTTAAATCTGTTTCTTTAGTTGTATTAGTTAGTATTTGTGAATAAATATCTTTATTGACTACATAATTATTGATTTTGTTTAATTTGTCTTTCAGTTCGTTTATTCGAGTATTATTTTCTTCGTCGACACATATAATTGAAACTAATGCTTCCGCTATATCATTAGGATCAATAGTTTTATCTACTTCACTTGTATCAATATCAGCTTTGGATATTATAAAAGAATGCAAAACAAGTAATAATATTTTATAAAACATTACACAAATGATATTGCTAACATGGCCACTTCAAAACTAGACGGTATCAACAATCAGTTGTTATTGTATTTCCACGAACAAGATTTTATTGTGAATTTATTTAGATTTGTATGTTGTAATATTACTTTTTATAACTGTTATGGTTAGATTTTACGTAGTTGAAATATTTTATTTGTTTCGGGTTAAAATATATTACTTACTCCTTTTATCAAACGTAATGAAAACTAAGAGAGTTCTTAGTTTTATAGTATTACATAATTGTGTGTTATATAACGTATTTTCGTCAAATATCATGTTATATATTCGGGAATTGATTATGATTTTTATTTAACCCTTTCTACTTATATATTGGTTTTGTTACATTTTTTTTGTTGAACATTCTTAAATCATATTTTTTATACCTTATTTATTGTTGGGTATACAATTTACTAATGCCTATTTAAGTTAATTGGAATACTTCAATGTGTATGCAATTTATGTATATAACAATTTCTATTGTCCGCCCTTTTCCAATAAATCGAACATTAACGTACACATAATAGAAAAAAATGCGCAAGTTCAGATCTAATCAGTGTAGCTATCTACTTGTATATTTGTATTAAAAATGCTATTCAATATGACCACGACCCAAAGGTTTGTATGTAAGAAAACTCAGCCTAAATCAATATTACATTCGTCTCAGCAAAATCATATCCACTCGAGCATTGAATGCCGGAGTATTATTTGATTGTTTACCTATTTCTATATTAAATGACTATGTTATTATGAAATCGTTTCAACCCACATCAAAAAGACCGCTCCGATCGATCCTCCATCCAATTCAAACGGGAATCGAAATTATGATTCGAACTCCTAGCGGTGCCCCCAGACTAAAGTCGTGTAGTACTACGTACGTACGTACGTCAGGCGGGAGTTGGCCTTCAGCCGCTAACAAATCCTTCCGCGGATTTGGAGTGACATCTGCACTCGCCCACTATCGTCTGGTGAAGCTGTAAAGACCAGCTGTGGCCAATGGCCATAACATCAGCATTTTACATGATATGAAATTTCATTTATTGGAATTGGTGTTTTCAAAAACAAAACGTCAATAAAATTTAATTTAATCGAAAGTAGAGGTTACCTACTCTCAATTAAATTCAGAACAATATTTATATTAATTATTTTTTTAATTCTAAATTTCAAAAAACACATTTCCTCTTGGGTACTTGGCAAAATTACAAGATTTTTTCAGTAAAATTACGGAAAATATTTATGTTACTAAATATGAAATATCAAATCAGAAATTAAAAACCTTTAACGCTTTTTTATAAAATTTTGTATTTACAATAAAAATTAATATTTTAAAACAGATATCGAGAAATAAAATCATTTCCAATAATTCAAGTATAATATTTTCAAATGCAAATGAAGTATACTATTTCTGTAAGATATATTTCAAAGCGAAATGAAAGGTTTCAAATATAATGAAATTAAATGTGATCAAATTAAACATAACTCGTAGTTCATTTTCAATTTGGATTTAAAAGACTTGTTTGAGTCGACATTAATTGATACACATAAATAAAATTGGAGTGTCTGTCTGTAATTTTAATTTAAAAGATTTTCACTAAATTCATGTGAAAGTATATACTCTAGTGACATAGTTATAATATTTGTCTGTTTGTTTTTTCCTAATCTCTGAAATGCTTTAACTGGTTTTTGTGATGAATTTTATTAACTCACAGATTACTAAGAAAGTATATACGATACTTACATCAAAAAATAATTAAAACCATTTTTATCTTTCTGTTAGTCCTTGCTAATCTCTGAAACGGCTGTACCGATTTTGATAGGAATTTCACTCAAACATAGCTAACGTTATAAGGAGTAACCTAGGCTATTTAAAAAAAATTACTTACATAAGAGTATTTACTACGCGGACGAAGTCGCGGGTAACAGCTAATAAACAAATAAAGCTTCAGATCTCATTGAAAAAGCTGTCGAAGTACATCAAACGAGTTCCTTTCAACGTTTACAGCTCACTTTTAATGTTAATGAAATTGTATTAAAACGTAAATAGGAACATTAAAAGTGATATAATTGGAAGTCAATTGGCTTAAATTACTTTTGGAAGCATTATGTATTTAATTTCCATACCAATATCGGCTGCCCCGGTGGTCTAGCTGTTTAGCACACCGTCTTACTTCTAATGGTCGTGAGTTCGATTCGTATGGTATTTATACAAACATTTGTATTTATGATAGTTTGTATCGGTCTGGCTATTTTCTGTGTATATTATGTATGTATATATATATATATATATATATATATATATATGTGTATTATATTTATATCAGTTGTATATAAGGGTGACAGGGTCGCCATATAAGGGTGGTGCTAGTTATAAAAATGCTAGATACAACGTTTGAGTGTATAGTTACTGTTTATTCTTATAATCAATACTTTTATACTACTTACTTACTAAGTATATGTATTGATCCTTACATTTTCTTACGCAGTGATGGCTGGCTCATCCGTCATACTCGTGAACGAGTGCTGCTTGTAGGGACTGGTCTGCTCTTATCACTATGACTGATTTAATCTTATTGTATATTTTTATTTGACCCAAATAAATTAGTGCTGGTTGGTAGTTTGTATTCACACGTTTCAACTTGTAAATGTAAACTTACAAGGTTTATTTAAAAGAGCAACACACAACAGCTTTCCGAACGAGCGGTAGATAAAAAAAAATTGTTATGACTATTCAAAAGTGCTTAAATTAAGTTTATTTGAATAAATGATTTTCTATTCTATTCTATTCTTACTTGTACACGTATCTCGTTGTTTTTTAATTACAAGGGCCTACGGTATAACAGGTATAACAGCGCTACAGATTTATCTGTAGCTTTACGCTGAGTTGGTTGCCTCCATCTTTGCGACACACCAAATCCACCTCCATTCTATTAATTTGTACAATTTATATTTCTACGGCATATATGCTATGCTATATGTTTATAATTAATTGATGAATAAAAATTGTCTATCTATCTAACACATGCTTTGCTTAGCTTGGAATTAGATTTCGCTACGTGAATTGTCCTAATATAGGTACTGTTATTATTGTGTTACTGGAAACAATTACTGTTTCCTTTTTTTATTAAATATATATGTATTTTTTATTTATTTTAGAGATTAAGGTATGATGGGACTGACGTACTAAAAATGGACAAAAGTACCTAAATCATCATTATCATTATCATCGTTACATAGTCTATACATTGAAATAACCGTTTTTTACTACATACATATGAATATAAATACGGTACATACACCAAAATAACATTTATTAGAATTTTTTCTGTCTGTCTGTTTGTTCCGGCTAATATCTGAAATGGCTGGACCGATATTGACGGGATTTTTATTGGCAGGTAGCTAATGTAAAAGGAGTAACTTAGGCTACTTTTACTAGTCGTGTGTACAGCTAGTATAAAATAAAGTCGCTGTCGCTGTCTGTCCCTATGTAAAATCTTTAAAACTACGCAACGAATTTTGAAGCAGATTTTTTAATAGATAGAGATATTCAAGAGGAAGGTTTATATATACGAGTAGATTAATATATGTACACCCGGGCGAAGCCGGGGCGAGTAGCTAGTTAAACATAAGAAAAGGAACATTCCTTTGATATAATACTTGAATACGGTTAACGTTAGCATATATTGCCATTAAACAATAACTTGAATATTTACATCGGTTTTTAGCATCTTTCTTTAAAAAGTATAAAATGAAATCGCTTCCTTAAAAAAAAAATTGTGAAACATCTATGTTAATGAAATAAATTTATTATTATTATTATATTAAATCGCTTCCGCTGTCTGTTCGCCTACATCTTTTAAACCAACAGATTTTAATGCAGGTTTTAGCAATTGATAGAATGATTCAAGAGGAAGGGATTTATATATAACACAAGTGTATGATACACGTGCGAAGCCGGGGCGGCTATATAGTATGTAATAAATTATATATACTCGTATATTATAATCGTGAATTGTCCCATCACTTTGTTTCTAAACTTCGAAAGGTTACCTTTATAGATTCATAATTGGATGAAAAGAATATCAAACATATATTAAGAGTCTACTATAATAAACTACTAAGAAATTTCTTGTTTGTCCTCTCAAATAATAAACTTATTTTTTTATCCCCTTCACATTTCTCATATAGAAAAATATTATAGTAATACGTTTTTCATAGCCAAACCACTACAATACCAAAATATCGAGAGAAACGTGCCTAAATTGCTAAAAAGGCATTGTTATAAGTGAAATGACATTTTGATTGTTACAATATTTTTGAGTTCTAATAAAATGTTACAACATTATCAATATATTTTTTACAAGTTAAATTTTTGTAATATTTTTTTCCAATAAGAGGTTAGTCTTCGTGTGTCGCCATCTATGGTATATTTGAATATTGGCAACGTGAATGTATTTTTGTAACAGTATTACCTAACAGCGCCATCTATCGCTGAGTAGAAAAACTATTTCAACTGAGAGTCCAGTACAGTGTGTTCAAGAAGTATATTATATATTTCATAGATGGCGCAGCTAGTAACCATTTATAAATTAAAATGGTACCGGTAATATTCACAATTTTAGCCAGAAACTAGATCTTAAGCGACATAAATGTTTCATTCTTTCATGAAATTTCGGTAGAGAAATGTAACTTGTTCTACATTATATTCATTTATTTTTACGCGAAGACACTTTTTCAACTCAATATTTAAGTACCGTACATTTATACACTTTACAAACAGCGAGTACCTAATTCCGTGTCATCTATTTCAACCGCTTAGCAGCTTGCTTTGTAAGGTAGATAGTTGAATGATGCGATGCTGTACTAAAATTACAGAATACAAAAATGAATACACCCTAGTCCTCAATAATAACATCGCATGGGTGGTATAACGAACGTCATATTTTAACATGAAATAGGTACCACTTAACTTATTTTTCCTTTTGAAATAAAACTGACCTAAGTTTAGTTAGCTAACATTAGTTATCTGCGAAAGTCAGTCAAAATCGGCCAGTAGCCAGATTAGCAGACAATTTTTTTTTAAATTAATTTATGATCTAAGTACCGTATTTAATTTCAGGTGTATTTAGGGGAAAGCTGTTACGAAATTACAAGTAGAAACTACAATTTTCTTTATTTGTATATAGATATTTAAGTTTATTTGATTGTCTATTTCAAAGGATTTTCAATTGTACATTATTATAAGTGCTCTTATTTGCAGTTCCCGAACTCTTGCTTTGAAAAGAAACTTGAGAATTGTAAAGTACGGAATTCTTCGCAAGTAAATAATAAAAAGTATTTCTCAAGTAAAATTAACAAAAACTTAGAAAACATCGATTTTTTTGTTCTAATTCTCTTTGGTAGTAAAGGGTTTTCATAAACAGGATTCTAATTAATTCTTTGAAGAAGTTGAATAATATTTTAACTGTCTTAAAGGGGGTAAATTCGTCGCTATAACTTCGCTAATTGTTAATATATTTTATTGATCAATTTTTAATTAATAAAATGAAAATATTTAAATTGTTTTGTTTTGTAAATTGGTATAACTTACAAAACAAAACAAGTACGTTTAGGTATTTTATTTAGTGCATAATAATAGAGTATTTTTTAAGTTTTTTAATGGATCATAGTGGAGTGATGCACCAGCCTGCGCTAAGGGTTGTCGATGGCGGGGCACCAGTGGTGGATGATAAGATGAACATGAAGTTAGGTCAGTCGTGGCAAACTCACCAGAAATTTATCATGCAAGTAGAAATAGTACATAATAAATCTAATAAATATAGTACATAGTAAATAGTAATACAAATAATATTGTTAAGACTGATTTTCAGATGAGAGTAGAGTAGCTATCGGTTATTGTTTGGTGATGGAGTAGGGACTAGACTAGACTAGGGAGCTCCAATCCATCTCCGGGCTCTGGGCACGTGCCCAGTGTATCCATTAGGGAAGAGGGCATATTTTTAAAATTCGCGTTCCGAACCCGCCTGGTTTGGGAGCGCCAAATTTAAAAATATTTGTTTTACGCAAGCTGATTATACAATTTTACTACATGTATATAAACTTAGAATATTAGAAATAACAAATTTAAAGTTTCCAATTGAAGGCGCTTCCAATATGATTAAAAAGCAATAAAAGACTTTGCGTTCGTTTCAACTGAACAGAGTCAATTAAACAAAGTAATTAGATTCTCCCGCTGCGCCGCTACACCGGGTATTTAAGTCAATTTCTAAATTGTATTTATATACGCGGTTTTCGGGATTAACGCTGCCAAATTCGGTCACAATAGAGCCGCCAACAAAGAGCTTTGTTTTAAATGAAATCACTGGCAATTCAATTTTGTCGGATAATTTTCTTGTGGCTACGAAAATGGCGAGTTATATCGACATCATCTGGAGTTACGGATATTATTAATGCGAAAGTAACTCTGTCTGTCTGCCTGTTTCGCTTTCACTCTTAAATCAGTGGTCAGCGTTTAGATGATTTTTGGTACCCTATCGAGACTTCGAGAAAGGACATAGACTACATTTAATGCGATAAAAAAGTTGTAAGTACCTAACTTATAAAACCTATACCTACCGAACCAAACGAGAAACATCACCTTTCAAATAAAATAGAATTGTCAAAATAGAGATCTAAGATAATGCACATAAAAAGTATAGTCGAATTGAGAATCTCTTTTTTAAAAAAAATCTGATGGTAAGTGATTAAGGTCATGCTTTATTGTAATTTCACTGATATATTTTCCCTTCGATCTTATTCTCCCTTCAACCTCAACATAGCTTACATCTTAGACGACTAGTAGTAAGTATTATATATTCCAAATCGCTTATTAAAAACAACTATTTTCACAGCCCCATTCTGAGGCTTCATTAAAATTGGGGAAAATTAAACATTTTCGGTTTGTATAATTCAACTGAAACGCAATCTACTACCTACTAGCTACTACCTACTACTGGGAGAAGGGGATTATTAATAATGAGGATTAGTGTCCGCATTGCAAGCAAGGCACCATGTTAGGTCGACCTACACGAGGTTTCTCTTGGAAATCAACGATGTTTATTTTCTGGTGATTTCATCACAATGGGCTGACTGACCTGACCATTCTCATTTTATCATTCTCCACCGATGCCTCGCCAGCGTATACGTTAGCGCAGGCGCACTATTCCATAATTATCTATAAAAAAATAGTAGAAATTCCAGTATCTCCTTTGGTATCTTGTTCTAAAATTTTATACCCATTCCCATAAATGACCCACTGACTTTTTCTAAACGATATCTAGGAAATTTCATATGTATGATATGTATGTATTTAGAAACGAATTATATTTATCTATTTATATCAGTTATCCAGTACCGATAACGCAAGATCTCCTCAGCTTGGGACTTTATGGCACTCTTTATATTGTTCAGGATAATTATTATTACGGTAACCATTTACCATCAGATGGGCCGTATGCTTAATTGCCAACATAGTTGTATAGAATAAAAAATACACGTTAGCGTCACATGGCGATATGATAATGCTGTTTCTGTACATAGGCGGCAGTTCTACATATAGTCAGTTTAGCCGTTAACTCGCATTCCATTCAAATAAAAAAGCATCAAAAAATTATACAGCGCAGATAGTACGTATTCTCATTTAGTAAGTACTCCTCCTGTGGGATGAAATAAAAGAGCAATATTTCGTGATAGCACGGCAGCTCTTTGTTCTGTATCTGACCGTGTACGGTAACCATCATGCCTATCTAAATGAAATATTTATGCAATTTGCTAAATTCCCTCATATTTCACACGCTGTGTTGAGTTAAAACGGTGGATTTTTGTGTACAATTCTTGCAATGTTAATGTTAAATCTTTACTTCCTTACTAATATTATAAATGCGAAAGTAACTCTGTTCGTCGCACTTTCACGCCAACACTACTGAACCGATTTAAATGAAATATGGTACACAGATAGTCTAGAGTTCAGACCCTGAGAAAGGACATAGGCTACTTTTTAATGGAAAATAACTGATTGCACAATTACTGAGTGCATAGCGGTTTCTATGTTGATAGTCATATGTTAATGTATATTTACTTAGAACAACATTTACTTATAAGAGCAACAATAATTTTTCTTCCTCGTTCTTCTTGTGATGAGTCTGCGTTCAGAATGAGTGGTAGAAAAAAAAATGAAATTTCTATTCAAAAGTGGGTGGCGAAAAATTTTGGGATACTTGATATGACAAGAGGAACTTGTTAATAATATTATCGAAGGAAAAGAAAAGAAAAGATGTAAAGAGAGGAAGGGAAATACCAAGACACAGGTATATCAAGCCGGTTAAGGAAAAAGTTGGAGTCGTGTCGTATCAACAACTAAAAAGATTAATGGAAGATCGTGGATAATTACAAGAGCACCACCGATAAGAGCACAGCTCTTAAATCGTGAATAAATGATTGAAATTCAAAAGGGTTATATTAAGTTTTATATTAAGTTATTATTAGGCTTATATTAAGTTTATTTGTTTAATTTTTTTTCTATCTATCTAGTTGTCATCGCTAAATAAACGTATCATAACATTTATCTATTTCCGTACAAATTGACCTTCAATATGTGCCCTATTACTTATTAAGTAGAAGAGTTTCCTCAAAATACTGGACTTGGGAGGTAAGTGGATTGAATCGTCTCTCAATTCAATTACTTACTCTCGATTCCGTTTTACCTTCAAGGCCCGTTTGTACATTTTGGATATATACCGCCTATTCCTACAGCTTTGGTTACATTTAACAGTTAAAAAAGTTTTTTAGTCGAATGGAAACTTTTATAATAACAGTTTTCAATTCGACTAAAAAACTTTTTTTAATGATAATGGAATTGTGGGTTAATAGTTTACGCTGGCGTGGCAGCAGTGAAGGATGATAAGATGAACGTAATGTCAGGTCAGTTAGCAGTGATAAATTCACCAGGGTGGTTTCCAGGGGGAATCGCGTGGTGACCCCCCGTGGCGCGATTCCCCCTGAGAACCATCGTGGCTGCATTGTTAGTAATGAATTCACTAGTCCATTAACAATTCCCTTTTACCTTAATCTTCACATTGGTTTAAGGCAACAATATTCATTGCTGCTCCACTCCTATTGATCATAGGGATGTAGTAGGGATGGTATATAACCTACAACCTTCCTAGATATTTTTTTTTACATTTTTTTTATTCGGTATATAATAATACATACAACCCAAAATTTCGCCCTTCTTCCTTTAACCCCTATTTTTAAATAGCGGTATTTATTTATCTACCGGAACAGTGAGGATGTACTCTACATATATATTACAAATTCTTATTTCGACACAAAAATTATTTGATAATCCTTAGTCAATATATAAAAAGAACACAAACAGTTCCGGTATGTGTAAATAAATATGAACATACGGATATCACGTAATCATTATAAACTTCGAGGTATCCCCTAATTTTACTATCATTACCTGAAACATGTTTTACAAAGCAATACATGGCTGTATGAAACTCAGACCGCTTTGTGCTCAATAAAAATTCAAAGCTGATGTGGTAAGAATACACAATTGGTTGGGAAATATAAAGATACTAATTGTGCACGCGACTTTATCTGCGTGGAATAGGCGGAATGTAATGAATCAGCAATCTTAAAAACTTGTTTCAAACTTCTCGCTTTAAAAAAGACGATACTTCCATACAACCTTTTATGTCTCCTTTCAACCGCTTACAATCCTTTTTTGCGTTAAATTGTAGCTTATGTCCATTCTCAGGGTCTAAACTATCTGTTTACCCAATTTTAAATCAATTCAGTATTTTTGTAGTCATTTACAGATAATTCACACAGCGCCATCCAGTCCCACGGTAGAGATTGTGTAATCAGTAATAGAGCTTCTTCTTCTTCCTCTTAGCTCTGTCCCACTTTATGCGGGGTCGGCTCTCCTAATTTTTCGGCGCCAGGACAATCTGGCCTGGGTTGTCGGGTCGGGCAATTTTTCCGCGGCGACAAGCTTGTTCATACTGGTCCACCAGGTGGCTGGAGGACGTCCTCTGCCTCTTTTGCATTCGGGTAGTTTTAAGGCTTTTTTGACCACATAATCCTCGTCACTACGCATTACATGGCCATACCATCTGAGAAGGCTTTCGGTAAGTTTCTCCGTTATTGGGGCCACTTTGAAACTGTTATCAGTAATAGAGCACTGATATAAATACATAGATACATTTCTTTTTGTAAATACATAATATACATAGAATATACCCAGACCGATATAAACAATCATAAACATGAATATTTTCATACATTTCAAAGGCTGTGTACTAAACAGTTAGACCGCCGGGACCGTTAAATATGAAGGTGTAAAAGACGAAAGGACTTTGCAGCTAATGGTTTATGCTTCACCGAGTTTAGATAGCAATTTAATGATACCTCGAGGTTAAAGAGTACCTACTGAATACAGACTATTAATATCATTTCGCGTTGATGCTTTCGTAGATAGCTGGCGTGCTTAGAGGCAATTCGTTTGGAAACACGGGTAGTTTTAGACATTGCAAGTGTATGTGAGAAATTTATTATATACTAGCTGTGCATGCGGTTCTTCCCGCGTGAAATTTATAGACAATGTTATTCTGATATAAGCTATATTATTGTTAAGTTTCATTAAAATCCCTTCAGAGGTTTTTGCGTGCAAGAGTGAGTCCATATATCCATACCTACTTACAAACTTTCGCATTTATAATGTTAGTAAAATATGCAAATAAATAAAATTGAAATACATATCTTTTTGTAATTTCAAATTAACAGCTTTTCACCAAACGCATATGTATTTACATAGAAATGTATCTAAGCTTTTATATCAGTGTTAGCGGTATGATTAGGGGCTTTATTTATATGCCAGTTTTGGTTGTATATACGTAGTTTATTAAAATAAAAGTAAATTACGAACATATATAGTTGTATAGAAACGGTATAAAAAAAATTGTGATCAGAAGTACAATAGTTGAAGAATGTCTGTAGAAGAAGTCCTTTTGTAGACTGTATTTCCTGTGCAAACGCAACGCACCACAGATTCATAATATTGCACGGCGCGGAGCTGCAGTAGGATGGCGAGCGCATCATGGCAGTATGTGCCATGTTAATACTAGAGTATTAACAATCAGTATTTTCAATATATATATATATATATATATGTGTATGTTTAAAGTATATATTATATTTATATAACATAAATTATATATTTATTTATACATTTATACATTTATTTATACATAGATTTTGTTTGCCTAATTATTTAGTACAGTATTATTATCACAAATTTTTGTCATTACTGCCCTACAACGCTTTCTAGTTCTACCCAAAGGTTAGCTGGTAGAGAATGCCATATGGCATTAAGCTCGCCTCTTGTACTCTCTTTATAGTGCAATAAAGAATAAAAAATAAAAAAAAATCAGTTATATAGTACTCATAACACAAGTTTTGCTTAGGTTGAGACTACATGGTGCTGTGTGAATTGTCCAGATTGATTATGATATTATACGGCACTTACATAAATAAAGTGTTTTAAAATAAATTGTCTGTCTGTCTGCTTGTACTTGCCATTCTCTGAAACGGCTGGACAGATTTATAACGGGATTTAACTAGCAGATAGCTAATGTTATGAAGAGTAACTTAGGCTATATTTTTCTTCTGTTAAACATCAAAACGCCTATGCCAGATGCCTCCACAAAAAAAAACAAACAGTCACTATTCAAAGAACCCAAGCTCAGTTACAAGTACTTTTTACTTGGCTCCGTAAAATTAATAGAAAGTCTGAAATGAAAATTCAGAATGGTTGCTAAGTCATAATGTAAAGTTCACCCGCCCGGGGCAGCACGGAACATTGCTCTTCACAAGTTTAAATTAACAGAAATCTTATTAATATCAAAAAACAATCTCATATTTTAATGTTTATCTCCAGTTTTGCTGAAATTACATCATAATAATAACCAATAGCCTAGTGGGCGAAATTCGACTATAATTAATTTAAATAAGGTTCTATTGTGACAACCTCGGTGGTCTAGCGATCTAGCACACCGCTTTACGTCCGATGGTCGCGGGTTCGATTCCTCGCACGGCGCAAACATTTGTATTCATGAGCATGATTGTTTGTATCGGCCTGGGTGTTTTATATGTATAATATGTATGTATTTACAAAAAAAATATCTATGTATTTGTATTAGTTGTCTAGTACCCATAACACAAGCTTTAGCTAGCTTAACTTGGGTCTAGATGGCGCTGTGTGAATTGTCCTGAGATTATTATTATTTTCAAAGATTATAACGTCTATAAAATCACAGTTACTGGCAGTCGTACAGGCAATAAACACAATCTTATTATTAATATTATAAATGCGAAAGTTTGTTAGTATTGATAATAATAATCTCATATTAATCTCAGGATATTTCATGGATGTTTGTTTTTTGTTGAATCTTTCACGCAAAAAGTATTGAACGGATTTTGATAAAACTTTAGAGTAATATAGCTTATACATCAGAATGCTAGTAGGTGTAATATTATGTTATCTGTGCTAGTAGTATATATGTATGTGCCAAATAGTGGGTGTATTTTGTTTTTATTTATTTCATGTATAATTTAAGAAAATGTTAGCATTTAGCTTTCATTCAGTATTCGGCATTCCTCTCTATATAAACTATAAGTGAACGAAATTTCAAACCTCGACATCTGTGCAATTTTTGTAAAAAGGGGTACGAAGTTTTTGTTTCACGTATTAATATATAGATACTTGTCCCGGCAAACGTTGTTTTGCCTTAAAATAAAAAAAAATTAGGCTTACGCTCACAAAATTTCATGAGAATCGGTCAAGCCGTTTCGGAGGAGTATGGGAACGAAAACTGTGACACGAGAATTTTATATATAAGATATATATATGTATATACGATATAGATATATATACGTAGCAGATAACTCAGGACAATCCACACAGTGCTATCTAGCGCTTAGTAACTAATACTTAAATACATTTTTTTTAGTATATAGAAAGCATTGAGACTACACTAGTACAAAATACCTTACTCATGAATATGAATATTTCTATTGTTTGACGATAGCAAGCGAGTGCGAGGGCAATCCAAACCAGCTTACGGATACGCCATTAGTGTGAGGGCACCGCTAGGGGTTAGAACCTACGCTCAGGTCGTCGTAATTTCGATCCTCGTTTAAATCGGACAGGGACTCGATCAAAGGGGGCCAAACCACTAGACAATTCCCTTTATCTAAAAAAGAGAAACAAAGTCGCGTGTGATGAGTTGTTCTAAATAAATGCAATAACTAGTGTAATGATATTTAAGTTGACCCCAAAACGTCAGGCTGCGTCAGTGGCGGCGGGCGGGCATTGTGAATGTAATGACGTATTTCCGGTGCTCCCCGCTCGACGGCAATCCGTATCTACTGTTCCACATTTTATTGCTACCAATAGCTATGTTGTATCTATTCATTGTATTTTTTAAGGGAACAATTTCGAATCTGAACTCTCAACGTTACAGTTATTACTCTTATTCTTATTATTCATTTTTTACGTTACTGGCGACCCGTACCGATTTCGCACGGATGCATTAGAAATCTTCGAATTTCTCGGCTCGTTCTATATTATAACACGCATGTATGTACATATACACCTTCTTAATCTCTTGCATCTTGTGCTGAAAATTGTATTAAAATGCATTGCATAATTTAAAAGATATAAGCGAACTTTGTTATACTCTATGTAAAGAAACTAGCTGTTACCTGTGACTTCATCCATATGAAATTTAGCATTAATATTTACAAAAATTATAACATAAAAGTAGCCTAAGTTACTCCTTATAACATTAGCTATATGCTGCAAATTATCATGCGGGAAATCGAACCCACGACCATCGGATCTAAAGCAGCATGCTAATCGCTAGACCACTGTGTTCGTCAAAAATAAAAATAAATCTCTAACACTATTTCTTGTGGCAGAGAATGCAGATAAATTGGTACTATTATACCGCAGTATACGTTACCATATTGTTTTGCATGGTGAATAAACGGCAAGTCGTGTTGAAGGCGTGACGGATAACGTTATGCTAATACAGGTGAACTTCCTTCATGCAAGGCACCGGAAAATACATTAATGCATGCAAGTGGCTATTTAAAGCCACCGACTCTAAATAGACTGCCTGTCGTAGTTCGTACGATAGCGCAAAAAATATTTTATTATTTTCGGTTGTGAAGTGAGAAAATAAGAGTATAGAAAATTCTGTATTCAAATTGATAAGTAGATTATAAATAGTTATTTTTATAATCTACTTATCATTCGGAAAACTGACCCATCATAAGAAGAACGAGCAAGAATTTTAATTACTTGTTGCTTTTTTCAACAATTGTTGTAATTCTACATCTTTACGTTGAAATCTTTGAATACAAACTTCCTATTTGCACTAATTCATTAGAGTCAAAATATTAAATACACAATGAACTTGTTAAGTAATGAAATAAGATTGAATCTGTCGTAGTGATGAGAAGGCAGTGAAATAAAATAGTTAATTATAGTAATAGAGATATTGTTTATTCAAATAAACATAATATTCTATACAGTACCTTTAAATAGTCACATTTTTTTATTCTAGCAAGTGGTACGGAACGCAGACTCATCACAAAAAGAATGAACAAGAAACTAGAGGTTTACTATTTTAAATAAATATTGTTCAGAATTACATTTTTATGAATTTTGTGTGAACACAAATAGGCAATTGAAAAGTTGATATAAATAATTAAATGTAGGTCTATTATAGACTCTTATGATATGTCAAAACTGCCGTCAGTTCGGAATGCCTTCGAGCTAAGAAGAATAGATAAGAAACTCGATTGAACATGATTACAAAAATACAGATTCCTTTTTAAATTCAATCAGGGAGACTGTAGTGACCTGCATATGCCATTGATTTTTTACTAAAAGTAAAACAATTATAAACAGTGGGCGTAAGCCGAATACACCAGTTGCTACAAGTAGCACCCGTTTAGCAACTTTAAATATCAAAGAATCAAAAGCTAAGAGCGTGATATCACTTGAGAACAAAGAAATGTAATATAACATGCCGTAGCGCTGTGCAATATCTACGCGCAACTCATGCTGCATTTTTATTATTTGAATTATTTATTTATTTCACTAGATATTACTTAACGGCTTTATATTGTTTTGTTTAGTTCCGGAAATTTAATTATTCTACAATAATTAATTCTACGGAAGCTTGAAAGCTCAGTGTCAATTGCAGAGTCGCGATTTGGTGACCGAACACTAGGGTTTTTAAGCTATATCCGAACTATATTCAATGTCTGATGATGCCTCGTTCAAAGATGAAACACGTGTCGCAATATGGGAGTAGACTTAGTAACAGTTGAAATTTCATTAGGTACCAATAGAAAAGTTGGTATCGCTTCCAGTAGCGGTGGTCAGTGTACATGCTAATGATAGCAGAATTAGTAATTATGAAATGAATGTAAGTAATGAAATGGAAACACCTAATTCGATAAAATATCTGCACCAGATATACTTCTTTAGTTATAGCCAATATAAACAGTCAAATAAAATTACATAAAATGTTTATATATTATACACTAGCTGTTGCCTGCGATTTTGCCTGCGTTTCCATCGTTTTTCGTAAATAGTAAGTAACCTATGTCCTTCCTCACAGTTCAGTGGTTTGGATGTGTTTTCCTAACATTTTCCTTCACTGCTCTGCTCCTATTGATCCTAGCGTGATGATAAGTGTATAACCTACCCAGAAGTATGAAGAATAATTGTACCAAGTTTCGTTAAAATCCGTCGAGTGGTTTTTGTTTCTATAACGATCATACTGACAGACAGACAGACAAAAATTTTACTGATTGCATTTTTGGCATCAGTATCGATCAATAATTATTTTAGAAATATACAGAATGTACAGAATTGACCTCTCTACAGGATTTATTATAAGTATAGAAGAAGATTATAAGCCTCACCGGAAAAGTTGCGCCATCTCCTGAGTATGCGAAATATATACACAAGCTCGTCCAAATACTTAAACATAGAAATACAATACCTACATAATTATTGTCCATTCTGAAAAAAAAAC